GTAAAAATAACCCGAAGGGGTCCAAATCGGGGAAAGCTATTGATAAAATATTGGTGCTAATAATATACAATGACCATAATAATAATAATAATAATAGAAAAAAAAGTGTGGGAGGGGAAATGCAATTCATGCTGGGGGCGGGTTAGGTTATCGTGGAGCGTTGCTCCAATAGTGTGTGGCAATGAAATAACCCATATCATTAGAATACCCGTCATCACGGAAAAACCACACCATACGGGGGGACAAGAATAAAATAATGATAATAATAATGCTAATAGTTTAGCGCCTTCTAGAGTAGACCCGATCCGAGGTTGCTTGGGTGGTGTATCGCCCGTTCGAGATCGGGAGGGAGTCCTCATAGTTGCGGAGGCCGGGCAGTTTATGACCACTGACGAGCTGGAGCTGCTCCCACAGCCCGTCCACGCTCGCCGCGCCCTTCTCCCGAGAGGCCAACCCCCGCCGCCGGGTGCCCTTTCCGTCCAAAATCTGCCGCTGAAGGGCGAGGATGCCCTGGCCTCGCCGCAGGGCCGCCAGAATCGGGCGATGCCCGCGCAGATGACGCCGGCTGAGGAACTCACGGCGAAGGCGAAACAGCAGCTCCTTTCGCTCCTCGGGCGCGTGGTGGTGGGCGATTAGCTGAAGAAAGTGCCGGTAAAGGTACAGCACCTCGCACGCGCAATAGGGGAAGTTGCGGAAGGATGGAACTTCGGCGCCCAGCACCTGAGGACCGACAAAGCGCGGGAGGAAAAGACCCCGCGTGCGGGAAAACAGCCCGTGCCAATGCACGATGGTTGAGACGGGGCCCGCACGCATGCCGTACATAAGATGGGGAATAGGAAAAAAGCTCAACAGGAGTCCCTGAAAACTCAATACCCTGGGACCAATGGTAGAAAATCACTACTAGGTTTTCAAAGCGTCGCCCACCCTTGGTGCTATTTTTGAATCGCAGTTCTTTTGTTAGGGGAACATTCACTTTCTAAAAGATAAAAAAAAATTTAGAAATACAAAATGTTCCATTTCATGAGTGAACATCACGTTATCGCGTCATCTCTTTCGCTCAATCTCCTATCGACAGCCTATCATCACTAATAAGTTAGTGTAGTTTTCTGTTTTTGTTGTATTTGTATGAAAATTAACAACAAAAGATCAGATCTATGAACCGATATGAGATTTTGTTTAGTGTAAATTTAATTGTTCCCAGATTACCTTTACTGATATTGGCATATATCGTTACGATTTCAGGTGGATGACCCCAAATGTGAGTAATGAATAAAATTCAAACACCTGAAATACCACATTCATCATCATTTTAAAGGAAGAAATATCAGAAAGGTAAGCTGGAGTGTTTGGGTGTTTTGATATAGACACCTTTCAGAACTTTTTGGGGGGGGAGTGAGGGGGTGGAGATAGGGTTCAATATTACGAAAGGAAAGAGTAACCACAATACATATTTAGTTCGATAATAAAAAATAATATCTGAGGTGAGAGAAAAAAACTGGCATAAGAAGAAATGACATCTAAACTCTAAATAATATGCCTCCCCCCTCCCATAGAAACCTTATTGAGAAAAATAAATAACGACACGAATTGCATATAAAGACTCTTTAAAGGAAAAAAAACATATTTAGGTACTTCATTTATACCTACCATGTATAAAATCACCCTTATTCATCCCTTCCTCTAGCCTCCTTACGCTCTTTCACCGTCTATAGATATTTTTTCCTTCCACCTACTATGGAGCCTCCCCCTTAGTGTAAACAATTTAATCCTACATAAACTGAATCAAATCGTCGTCACCATTCGCCATTTCATAAACAAACGCATCGCCTTGAAGGTTCGTCAGCGTCTGTTGGATTTCTCGGATAGGATCTAAGCCGCCGAGGCGCTCGCGCAGGTCCCGAAGCCGTATCGAGCTTTGTTGTTCGCGTTGAAAGCTCCTCAATACCTCCATCAAGCGCCGTGAGAGGGAAAGTGCCAACGCGGGATCCCGCCCAGAGTCGTCATCAACGCCCAAAATAGGCACAAAAGGGGGAGCCGAAGACGAAACTCGGGCCTTTGTAGCCGCATCGCTCGTGCCCTTTCCATCCTCCGCGGCGCCCTCGCCGTCTCGCGGGCGCTTTCGCTCGCCGGTCTTTCCCTCCTCGAGCCATTGGCGCTTCCCCTCCTCGCGCTGGGTACTTGCCGTGGTGGCGGCGTGCACGGACAGGCGCAGGAGCTCCATCGCCGCGTTCACGTCCTCCTCCTCGACCGCGGCGGACAGGCGGAGCTTCGCGTGCGCGGTGCTCAGCCGCACGATCGACTCCAGCGTCCGCGCGGTGACGAAAAAGCCATCCCGCCCCCCCTCCTGCTGCTCCGCACGGAG